GAGGGGAGGGGAGGGCCGGGTTTCGCTTTGTATTGGTTTTTATTCGTGTTTCCAAGGATGAGAAGCAAAAAGATTTATTACCCGCGAGACTTGGTCAGCGCCGGGGGAAGGGGGCACGGGAGGCAAAAGGCTGGGGGGACCGGGCGCGCCGGGTCTGCCCCCTGCCTGGCCTGCCCCCTGTGACCCCCAGCTGCATGCGACCCCACAGGCCGGGTCCTTCCTTTCCCTTCGCAAAGTCTCTGTCCAAAGCTCTCACCTGAAACTACGACTCCGCGTTTTTAAGCCTATAAAGAAAGAAAACCAGCTCAGTGCCTTCCCGCACCTCCTTTGTCTCTCCAAACCCGCCCGCCTCGCTGCTTCAGGGTCGCCCTGGCATGCGGATGGGCCCCACGGGGCTGGTGCGATGGGCTCCGAGCCCTCTGGCTGCAAGCAGGGATGACGTGAGGGCTGAGGGGGGCATTGCAGCTGGAGCTGGGGTGGACTTGCCCCTGCCTGGGGGCCCCAGTGGTTGGGTGCTCCATGCTTGGGGTTTGAGCCTGAGAGCTGGTTGCTGCAGCCCTGCCCTGGGCACCCTTCCAGCCTCCCCTGGACCCTGCTGGTACCAGAGCACGGAGGGTTCATTGGTCCCAGGCCAGCAGCTCTGCAGGGAGACTGTAGCCCCAAGTGCTAGGGAAGTGCAGGAGGGACAAGTGTGACACTGGGCACCGGGGAGGAGCAGGGGCACTTGTCCTCTTGGGCTGCAGCACCTACCTTGGGATGACCCTGCAGGAGGGGCTGGGCAGTTCCTTCCACCGAGGGACAAGGCGCACAGCAGCCACGTTCGCCCCCAGCCGGAGGGGGCACTTGCAGGCTCTGCTGTGGGGCTTGGAGGGAGGCCTGGTACCAGGGAGCCAAAGCTCCCCTGACTCCAGCCATGGGATGGGCTCCACCCATCAGCCTTGTGCCAAGGAAGAGCAGAAATGAGCCCACAGGGCAGCGGGCTCATTCAGGGAGGTTCAGCTAGAGCTGGCAGGCAGAGACTGCAAAGGGACCATTGGTGCCCATCACTTGTCCCCCTGCTACTCAGCGGGTGGTGGAGGGTGGGGAAGCATCCCCATAAATGCAGCCTGCAGCAGGGAGAATAGGGCAGGTTGAGGGACCTACACCAGTGAAAGGCACCTGGATGTCACCAGAGGACATGCCCAGCCTGACACGGCACGGAGGGCCCCAGAGCAGGCATGCCCCTGTCCGATGACGGAAGAACGTGTGTAGGGGAAGCCGGTGGGGCAGGGCTCAGTTCAGCTTTCATCCTGAGCTAAGCCCTAGTGTGAGCAAGGATGAACACCGGCCATGAAACTGCTGGGAGCTCAGAGCCCCTCTCCTGCTCCCCATGCTGTAGTGAACCTGATGCAACCCCCACCCGCAAAAGGCACACGCCTCAACAGCAGAGCAATACTTGCCCCTACAGCCCCAAGGCAGGAAGGGACAACGGGGGAGGGAGGGACCCAAAGTCAGCAGAAGGGCCAAATCCCCTCCCTTGGTGTCACATAAGGATATTGGCTGCTGCAGACCTGAGCCACCCCCTCCATCCAGGAGCAGGACCCAGCCCCTCTTGCCATAACCCCTCTGCCAGAGGCCTCCACGCACTCTCCTCCCCTTGCCAGGGCAGCGGGCAGGGCAGGAGGAAGGACAGGGACGCAGCCTCACCGGTGCTTTTTTATTTTCTTAAAAAAAGAAAAAAAAAAAACCCAAAAAATCCCAAAACCATTATCGTCGCCATCAGCTGCCCGCCGTGCTCTGCTCCTGGCCCAGCCCAGCACGCAGCTGGGGCAGAGCGCCAGCGTGTCTGGATACCTGTTTCTTTGTCCTCATCGGGTTTATTTTAAACACATCACGATGTGTAGGAATCTCTAAATATACCGCAAATATAAACAAAAAAGGAAAAAATATATATATAACAGTAGTCTAAAACATAAAGTGCACGGCCATGGCTTTGCACCAACGTCTACACAGCTGGGGCAGGGGGCCCTGGGGGATGACCTCCCCTCTCTCCCCCATGCCGGGAGGAAGAAGACTGCAGAACAGAATGCATTTGGGTGAAGAAGAAAGATGCGGTACTATATTTCAGGGCACTAAGGTACCGGTTCCTGCTCCTGCTCCTGCTCCTTTAAGGGAAGAAACTGCTTAGGGAGAGGGCCCTAGCAGCCAGGCAGAAACCCCACAGGTGCAGGTTACTGTGGCAGCAGGCTAATGAGGGAATTAGCCTGCACCCAGTCAGCTGACCAGAAGAAGGCTGGGTCCTGGGCATATATAAACCCCATGACTGGGGTAAGAGGGTTAGTTTTCTAG